CCGTTTGTGTTTTCATTCTTGCCGTGTGACGGTGAATATCTTCAGTCTGTGTTATTGATTGTGCTGAATATGAGATCGGATGGCATAAACTTTGGAATGCGCTCAGATGTGTCGAACAGGACTAGCTTGCTAAGCAAACATGCCTGACACTCCTGTATGTATGTCAATGCAGTCGGTTTAGTCAATGTTCAACAGCACGCCTGACCCGCTTTGACATTAATACACTCTGTTCACATATACTGTTGCATTTTATTGTTATATAATTATTAATCCATGGCATGTTTTAAAAACACAATTAGTGACAAACACATACCACCATAGTTTATGCTAAAATACCATTGTTGAAATGGTTTACTATGGTAAAACTGGTGACTTGAATTAGCCATCTATCATCAAATACTAGTGTCAAAAAATGATTGATATTTTATTTTACTTTGTTTTTTTAATAATTGTATTATTTTATTTACATTTTTATTTACTTTAGTAGAATTTATTATTCATGATTTTATTAATTTTGTTTAGTAATATTATTTTTTTTGTAGTAGTAGCCTACTTTTATTTATATATATATATATATATATATTATAATAAAAGTACTACTACTACATTTTTTTTATTTCTATTTAATTTCTATTATTGTAATGTACTAATTGTTTTAGTAATGCGGTTATTTTTTAATTAATTGATTTATATTTTTTTATTTAGTATTTGCTTTTTGCATACTGTAACTGGGAGAATATAAATTAAGAAAGTGCAAATTTAACAACCTTTACGAAAGCTCTGATTTTAGAATATGTAATTTTATTAATTTTTTCCTCCATTTGTACTTGTCTTGTAAAGTCTGATAAACATCCAACAACCAGGTTTAATCCAATAGTGTTCAGTGGCAATAAAAACAGCAATAAAGTGATCATTTTCTAAAAATCCAATCAGTGTGTGTTAAAATATGCAGATTTGTATTGCTTTTGGTCATTAGTTTTTAGACTGAACTCTGTTTTGTTCGGCTGCTGTCGGTATTTTCAGTTGTGTTTTTGTGTGGCTGCTGTTATTTTGTGTTATTTTTCATCAGAGAGAATCTAATGAAGCGAGGACTGTTAAATTATGAGTAACTGACTTCATCTCACATTATTAGAAAATCACAATTAAGCCTCTTCTACCAGCATCATTAATGAATCCTCAGAAGTAGTTATGCATGCATTTATGAAGTCATTAACATAAGGTTTATGATTAATTTATGAACGGGACCCGCCGTTAGCAGAGCTGTAAATGACAGAAATATAAAACAGTTTTTCGTGTCAGAATATTGGGAGGAAACTGAAGAATGTTTTTACATAGTTCACATGAAACTTAATGAACATACAGAATTCTTGCAAAAATTGTGTGAATGTTTCTTATAAATGTACAGGGAAAGGATTTCCTTTGTATTACTTTTTTAATAATTAAAAATATCTTTTTTTTTCCAAGTTTCATAGAATGGAAATGTTTAATGTAAAAGTAAATTAGGCCTACTTGAAGACCTTTAAGATTTAAAGACACAAATTGTAACATTTATTTTTTGCACATTTTCCTCCTTAATTGTTGTTACTGTAATGCTTTTTAAAAATTTGTGCTGATGTTAATTGAAATATAAAATATTACAGAATAAATTATTACCTCAATGCATTATTTATTTATTTATTTTTGCTTAACAGTAATGACAATTTAGCTTAAAGTAAAAAAAATATTAAAAATGTCACATTGCAAAAATCATAATTGTCTCAAAATGAGTCTGTTTTCTTTAAATATATTTTTTTTATTTCTTTAGATTTTGGGGTGAAACAAGAATGATATATTGACAACAAAATCAGAACAAATAAATATATGTAATGTTTTATTTTGCCTTATTGTTTTATTAATATTTTATTTATTTTAATTTTTTTTACTTTGCTTTAGTAATATTTGGTTATTTTATCTAATATTTTACTTCATTGTTTTAGTGATTTCTTTTATTTATTGTACTTAATATTTTATTTTACTTTATTGTATTATTTTATTTAATATTTTATTTTTTGGGATCAAAATCATCAAATTTAGCTTAAAGGGATAGTTCACCCAAAAATGAAAATCAGTTTCTTGCACAGACTGATCGTTTCGTGTCTTTACACATCAATGTATCGTCATGAACCGCAGGGTTTAATTTGTGTATGTTTTTTTAATCTCAAAGCCGTGATTCCCATCCACTTGCATTATAGGACTGACAGACAGCAACGGTTTGAGTTAAAAATATTTGTTTGTGTTCTACTGAAGAAACAAAGTCACCTACATCTTGGATGCCCTGGGGGTAAGCAGATAAACATCAAATTTTCATTTTTGGGTGAACTATCCCTTTAAAACATCAAAATAAGAAGATTTTTAAGTCAAACCGTTGCAGTCTGTCAGTCCTATAATGCAAGTGGATAGGAATCACGGCTTTGAGATTCAAAAAACATACACAAATTAAAAGACAGCAACGGTTTGACTTAAAAATCTTCATTTGTGTTCTACTGAAGAAACAAAGTCACCTACATCTTGGATGCCCTGGGGGTAAGCAGATAAACATCAAATTTTCATTTTTGGGTGAACTATCCCTTTAAAACATCAAAATAATGTGCTTAAAATGTCACATTGCAAAAATCCTTATTGTCCTAAAACAAGGGTCTATTTTCTTTAACCTAAATATAATTTCTGATTTCTTTCTTTCGATTTTGGGGTGAAACACGAGACATTTCTTCATTAGAGTCACATTTCTGGGCAGATGTGAGTGAGAGTCTGTATCACACCAGCTGATCCTTTGTTTGGTTTTTTATTTAACAAAATCTTTGTAATCTTCATTTACAATTCCACTGATAATATGTGAGGCTGGCCTCAGTCGTGTGTGAAGTGTGTCTTTTTCTGAGCTGTCACACTTTAATTGGGCAGACGGGGGTGTAAATGAGATGGGTCTTTGTCCCCATATGGGGCGTATGAGACGGGACACCCGCGGGTGTGTGTGAGGAGGTGGGACTCATTTGACATGCAGCATCCCCCTCTTTCATGATCAGACACACACACACTCGGCAGAGGTCTGACGGTTAATGATCCGGGCGTGAGCAGCTGTTCATTAGTTTGTCTCTTTAGTGTCCCGACACCCAGCAAATATTCCCCCTTCATTTCCATCCGTTCACCACCTGAACCTCCATCAAACAGGCCGGTTAATGTGAAGAGAAAACACAGTTCATAATGTCAAGAGCAAATCTCAATCCTCCCCTAACAATCACAATCATATCAAATCTCAGTGTTGCTTAATGTTTACAAAATTTAGAACAAAGAAATTGTGAATATTTCATTGGGACCCACTTTATATTAAGTGTCTTTAACTATGTACTAGTGCCGGGCGGTATACCGGTTCATACCGAATACCGGTGTTTATTTTTGTTATGATATGAATTTTAAAAATACCGCAATACCGGTGAATGTCGCTTAAACAACGTTCAGAATGCGACACTGTTTGAAAGGGGTCTCTTTTCACTGGTGCACTGTGGTGAGGGAACAGCTGTATGTGTTACTAAGCATGAAAGTTCCGAAACTGAAGCTGTAGAACTAATAGAACGTGATGACACAGAAGAACTCATCCACAATATCCACATTGACCGCCACAAA